AATATTAATCACTGAAACTTGAGACCTCAGTGTTTTTAACATAAGGGGATCATGAGTGATGCTGTGCATGTATTTACCACCTTCATTGATGTTTCTTGTGAAGTTACTATATATTTTTAAACGTAAGGCTTCTTGTGTACATGTACCGACACATGTGTGCATACATATGGGTATGCTCATGCATTTGAGCCCTTTAGAAAGCGTGCTTCTTTAAATGTAGCCATCCAACACATACTTATTGCATGTCTACTATTTGTCCCATATACCTCCGAGGTGCTGAGGCCATGTCAGAGAACAAAATAAAGTTCTTGCCATCAGAAAGTATTATAAGCGCATTGTCTCAGTCACAAAATGCTTCTGCCTAAGTTTCAAATTCAGGGAAAATTGCATTTGTCCAGAGAAACAATCTTAAAGAAAATAAAGATGTGGCATATTCTTTATCCTATTAGGATCTTCACAAAACATCACTTTTTTGAGCTTATAGTATAAAACATTTGATAAGTGAATCAAAGTGAACACGGGTACAGGCTACATTTTACATGACTCACAAAGTATGCTTTCCAACTTTTGTCAGAGAAATGACATTCACTGGGACAATTTCAAATAAGCTTTAATGTGGAGGGCCTTGCCCACAACGGTGCATCTATGTCTGACTCCAAATTGTCCCTGTATGTCTCCTTTATATTTTTAACAACACCAGTAAGAACTTGGATTAACAGCTTCCCATCAACACAGACCATACTTTTTCTTTTCGCAAACTGTGCATTAGCTAAACTGAAATCATAAATGATCAATTTAAATGCTCTACTACTGAATGCTCACTGTGTGTGGCATACAAAATCTGATTTCACCCTCACAGTACCCAGTTCATGCTGTTCTCTGCACCTCTGTTTTACAGACAAGGAAACAGGCTCAGAGACGGTCAAGGATGTACAGAACACATGTGGCCCAGTGAAAAGCTGCTGGGTATTTATAGTCTCATTGGATACTACAGCCCAAGTTCTACGTACCTTTTTTTATCTTTAGAAAGTACACAAAACAGTAGAATTTATCAAATGGTGAAAACATCCATATACAGTTTCCATCTCTTTTTAGGTAAGTAAAAATGATCAACTTTAGGATACTTTTTCAGAATTGACAAAGACTTTGCGGTATTTTCATTCTTTCATTCAAAAACTAGTACAAAATAAAACAAAATCCTGTGATTCCCCATCTCCCCATAATATCACCCACAGGCATGACATCAAGAATAATAGTAATTACAAGGGCAGGATTCCTTTTTTTTTTTAACATTAAAAAGAGGAAATTCCCCTGGCAGCGGATGGAGGAGATGGACAGGACACAAATCTATGGCTATACCGAGTGAAACTCTGAACAATGACGAGGATTGGCTGCTTGAGATAAACCACTGGCAAGTTGGTACCAGAGGATTTACACATGCAAACCTTAAGAACTGTACATCTGCATTAAATCTTCTTGATCCTATACAGTTTACTCCATCCTCAGTGTACTGTGCCTCTTTTAGCTAAGAGGAGATTCAGTATGGCTAGGAGAACTGTCAGCCCACACTGTGCAGCGTGGGGCCTTAATCACAGTAAGAGAATTTTATACTATGTGAGTGGAGTGATGTCATCGCATAGACTTTATTTTATGCGTTCCAGGTCCAGAATTAGTCATACGTAGCCCAAAGGATGCATTTTCAATCCAAGAGCTATGTTATACAACTTTTCGATCAAAAGTACACAGAACACAATCATAGCACTGTTTTCCTCTAAATTCTCATGGAAGCATTCACGCTAAGATTTCTTTCTCTATGCTTTTAGCAGAAACTCCTAACTTACAGTTTCCCATCTGAAACAGTGCTCTACATCTTTATATCGTCAACAGTCTGTCTAGAGAAGACCTCAGAAGAGTAACCTGATGACTAAAGGCAGGTCAAGCATACAGTCCCTCTTCCTCAAAAGTGTAAGCACTGGAGCTTTCAAAGCGCTCCCTTAGCCTGTGTTCATCCCTGGACAGCTAATCCAAATTAATTCATCCAAGAATAATCATAACAAACAGCCCCCCTTAGAGGGGCTATTATACTTGGGCTTTACATAACATTACTTTCAGTTCACAAAACAATCCAACAAATGAGATGCTATCATTCTCCTCCCACAAATGAGAAAATAGAGGGCCAGCGGAAATCCAAATATTGCCCAAAGGGCACAGCTACTCAATTAGAGAGGAACATTTAAAATGGTGGCTTCAAAACTTAAAAAACCAAGCAGCCTTCTGGAACTGTGTCCTAAACAGATCCCTGTATATAGCTACCTCCTGAAAATGCTAACTCCATGGGCACCAATTCAGCCCCGAGGTAAACTGACAAGGTAGATTTCCAGCTATACCAGGGCCACAGTTCCTTCGTGAGCCCATGGACAGCTTGGCCAAGAGGCAAGTCCAGCTCTGAGTGCCAAGCCAAAGGAGGTAACTCCCAGGCTGAGGCTGCATTCCTAACTGTAATGCTGAGAAGTGATTCACCACTGGAAGAGCATCCTTAGAAGCCCTCTCAGTGGAGGTGGATGAGAGGACACATGCAGCTTACAATTTTAAACAGACATAGTGTACTATCCCCCATCTTTGCCTCCTTCCTTTCCTCCCTCCTCTCTCAGGAATCTTTTCTTTCCAGGGGTACGGACGAGGATGGGGTGATGTCAAAGCGTGAAATGTACTTGGAGATCGAACTAGAGTAGCATTTGCAACATGTTAATGTCAAAAAAGATAAAGAAAGCAAAATCTCCCCCAAATGGAAGACCCCAACCCGCATGGAGCCTGGATCTGAGGTACAAAAAAGTAAAAGTATCCCAGTACATATACATTTTTCTTCTTCCTTTCTCTCAGTTGGGTTAAGTTGCAGCTGATCAGAAATTTAATGTAACTTGAGTTATTCTACGACCAGGAATGGTAAATTCACAGTGGTCATATTCAACAAGGTAAACAAGCAAACAAACAAGCAAAATGCAGAAAATGATGGTCAGGTATGCAGAAGACTTCAGGGAGCTTAGCGGGGGAATCCTGCAACGACTGTATTCATGGGCTGGTAAATATATTGCCTGATTCATGTCCCACAGGAAACATGTGCCCAGAAAAATAAATTAGAGAAGTGCTCAGCTGTAAGCTAGTTTAGTTAAGGAGTAATGAAAAGGGTAAGAATAGATGATGTGAGAGAAAGAACAGACTCAGATGCTTTTAGCGGGATATTTCTGGTTTCTATTATCACTTCTCCAGCATAAATCTAACTCCACTGTACTTTAAGGACTCTCTAGGGTCCACCACTCACAGGATTAAACGAATCCAGTACCAAGAAGGGATGCAAGAGACAGTCGCTTCTCTTCTCCTTTGGGATATGTCAGAGTTGTGGACTTTTTTAAAAAAATAGAATCAAAGTCAGGGTTATGTGAACTGGGAAAGACAGAGAGAGAGACAGAGAGAGAGGGAGAGAGAGAAAGGAAGGAGGGAGGGAGCAAGGGAGGGAAGGAAGAAAGGAAGGAAGGAAGGGAGGGAGGAAGGAAGGAAGGGAGGGAGGGAGGAAGGAAGGAAGGGAGGGAGGAAGGAAGGAAGGAAGGAAGGGAGGGAGGAAGGAAGGAAGGGAGGGAGGAAGGAAGGAAGGGAGGGAGGGAGGGAGGAAGGAAGGAAGGGAATGTTGGAGACTCTTGAGGTCTAAAATGGCAGAGTTTGTTTCACCCTCTTGGGACCAGAGTGCCTTCCTCCCAACCCTCCTAATAAAAATGGCAGTTCTGGCGACAGGGACAGCCATGCTGTACAGGTCCGACTCCTGACTCTTATGCACTCTGTAGGTAAAAGTTGTCTGCTACTCTGAGGGTTGTGCGTATCACCTGTCTCATACTGTTTGCCCGTTAACCAAAGAGGTACAGTTTCTCTAGGCCTCAGTTTCTCTTCCAGGGCTTCAAATCTCCAAGGAGTCTTCAGGCTCTGAAGTTATATGGGTCTGTGTGATTCTGGCAGAAGGCTCCAGAGAGAAACAAGAGTTCTGTGAAACAGTCCAGCCCGGCAGCTGTGCAGGAAGCAGAAGGTGCTCCTGTAGCACCCCAGCTCCCTAAGCATTACATTCTCCCCTGGCCTTTTTCTTTATTGACCTCTTTGCCTTGACCAGCCCGGCCCATCCCAAGCATTGCTGCTCCACGCACAAGCCTACACTGACTGAGGCTTCTAAGTTCCCACCGGACTCGGAGCATCTCAGCCTTTTTCTCGGACCTCGGTCTTCCAGTTGGGAAGGTTTCTGAGAAATCCCAAGGGGCCAGGCCCTTACAACCTACGTGGAGCCTGTTATGCAAAGAAGTCCTAAGTTAGAAAGGGGGTGGGGCTGAGGAGAAGTGGGTTCTCCTAGTTTCATTGGTGAGAACCCTGCTGATGTGGCGAACACATTTGGGCACCTATGTATGTGCAAGAGAGATTCTCCACCACTGTGCCCCCCTCTGCCCAGCTCCCTCCGACAGCCCACTGGGCAGCCAGAACCCTCTTCGGCTGCCTGCCCGCTCGCTTGTCCCGCTTTCCCGGTAACACGTTCTGTGGATCTGCAATGTCAGTATGCACGGTGACATTTAAACTGGGTCTCTCAGATTTCCAGTCGCTCAACGTTCCTGCTTCTAACTCCCGGGCTCCTCTGTGTAACTTAAACGCACCCTACAGTGTCGGTCACAGAGCACCAGCACCCCACACTGCACCAGCTTTCCCGGGGGAGATTTTATGTTTCCGGCTGAACCTTCGCAAAGGCATCTGCCCAGGACGCAGCAACCTGCATCATTACAGCAAACGAGCTGATGGGCGAAACCGGGCTGATGGAAGAAATGCGTGGGCCACCCTGTCCCCTTTCCCGGCCCAACAAACCAGGTCTTTGAAAAGCACAGGAAAGGGGAAAGAGAAGCGATAAACAGCATAAGAACACTAAATTAATGAACATTCTGTCTTCATCAGTAAATAAGGAAATAAAAATCACTCACTGTATTTCAGACTCACCACAGCAACATCCACATGGAAATCCAGTAGGTTAAGAATAAGAGGAAACACATGATCTTGACACCAAAAAGCAAAGAAAGGAAAGGGGGTTAAAAAAAAAAAAAGAGAAAGAAAAAGGTTGATGAAGAAAAATCCAGCTGCAATTATCCGTCAGTTTTACTCAACATATGCACAAATCCAACTGTGCGCCGCTGGTTTCTCGCCCCCGACCAAAGCCCTCATTCTGCCGCGGTCAACTTTTCTTCTCTGAAATTTCTTTGCAGATGTATTACTAATTTCCTCTCCTCTTGTGGGAAATTCAAAAAAGGAAGAAGCAAGGCAAAAAAAAAAAAAAAAAAAAAAAAAAAGAAAGAAAAGAAAAACAACACCATATCAGGTCTTTTACTTTCCTAAAAAAAGCCCCAAACTTTTCACTCCAAAAATATCTCCTCGGTGTACTTTCTCCTTTAGAGAGAAAAATAAACATTTTTCTTCGTGGTTTCGCGCTTCCCCATTTCCAACCATCCTTTCGGGGGGAGGAGGGGGGGAGCTGTTTTATTCTTATTTATTTATGTCGGAACACACCAACCCCCGCAGCGCCGAGACGGGTTGGTTTCATTCCCTCCGGCGCTCCCCGGGTGCCCGCACACACATTCTGCGTTAAGATCCAGAAAAAGCTTCGTTCTTGCTTCTCTCCGGCGCCGTCAGTGCATCCGCTGCGTCGGGCTCCGAGAAGGAGCTGCGTCCCGCATCCTTCATTTTTGCAAGGCGCCCCACAGCCACCGCCACCAAAAAAAAAAAAAAGTCTCCTTTCACGTCGTCGATCGCTTCCCTCCGCCGCTGCGCCCCCCTCGAGGATTTCGGGGGATCAGCTGCCCCCACGCGCTCGCCTTCCGGCCGGCCCCTCCGCCGAAGATCTGATTAGATTTCTCATCACAACCCAGTGCGCAACTGGGTTCCGGGCCCGGGCGCCCCGCGCCTCTCCCG